TAAAAAAAAGAAATGAGCATAATGGATTCATTTTAAATTCAAATACGGTACAGAACCATATTGATACATATTACAGCTATGTTCAAATTTACACAGATGCTTCCAAGAACTTAGTAAATAAAGTTGATGTAGCTTTCATTGTTCCGGAGTTCAACATCAAAGTTAGAAAAAGAAGTAACGATGGACTTTCAGTATACACAGGGGAAATGCTCGCAATATTATTAGCCATTCAGTGGGTTGAAGAAACAAGACCATTGAGATCAGTGATTTGTTCAGACTCCAGTTCATCATTACCAGTGTAACCATTCAGAAAGCAGCCAGATATTTTAATAGAAATTCAACAAGCACTATACAGAATAAATATGATGGGTCTAATAAAACATTTTTTATGGATACCAGCTCATTATGGTGTTACAGGAAATGAAATGGCAGATAAAGCTGCAAAGGAAGCCACTAGAAATACATCATTGGATTTAGTAGTTAATTTTAGTAAAACAGAAATAAAACTGTTAATAAAACAGAAAATGAAGGATAAATGGCAAAAGCTATGGGAGGAAGAAAAGAAAGGATGCTGGTTCTATAAAATCCAAAAGAAAACTGGAGAAATGAGAAGTACAGGGAGGACGAGGAGAGAAGAGACAATTATTTCTCGTCTCAGATTTGGGCATACTGGGTTAAACAGCACTCTTTTTATTTTAGGGAAACACTGCAGTGGTAAATGTGAGTACTGTGGGACAGATGAGACAGTAGAGCATGTAATGTTACACTGCCAAAAGTATGAGGAAAAAAGACAACAGTTGATTCAAAATTTAAATAGAATTAAAGTAAAACTAGATTTAATTGATTTATTCAGAAATAACTCGAATAGTAAAATTTATCAGATAATCTTTTGTTATCTTAAATTACACAGTTATTTAACAGAATTTAATCCTTGAGTGACATTTTGGTCCACACTCCTTACCAGTCGGTGGCGGTAATGCACCAATTTTGTTGTTTGCCAACCGCCAATTAACCTCAAAGAAGAAGAAATGTTGGTTACGTACTGTAACCCCAGATTCTATGAGTATAGGCATAGTCCTTTAAGGCTGTCGCTGGTGGGTTAAAGGCGAAGCAGGATGTAGTCTATGCCTCACTGGGTCTGTTTAGATACAATATGAAGCGCCCACTTGCACCAAAAAACATTTCGTCACTCAGCCTTCTATGTGCATGATCACAATCAGAATAAACTTTATTGGCATTGCACCGAGATACAACGCGAATATGTACGTACAGTCGTCCGAAGATGGGAGGAGTGAACAAAGCTGCGGCTATAAATAATTAGCGCGGCCCTCTTATTCTTATTCAGAATAATATTTTGCTTAGATGAGAAAAGGAAAGAAAACATGAGGAGAGACGGTATAAAAAAAAGATCTCTCACACTGTGTCCTAGACAGGGCACAATTTGAGGCATAAAAAAAAACTACCACAGCAAAGCAACATAAACAGACATTATACATTTACATATAGGCCAATTTTTAAGGGAAAGTCATAGCATAGTCCAGAGGCCCCCCCCCCCCCCCCCCGCCCTTTTCCAGATAAGAGATGTTATTCATCTTCAGCTCAGTTGAGGTTCTGTCACATGTCCAAGGCATTGGGGAAGGGAGGGGTGAGTAAACAGTCAAAGAATATTTGTTTTTTTCAAAACATACCAGGAGGAGTTGAGATAAGTCCGGCATCAAGGCCACAATTTGGGTCAGGCAGAACTCGTGAATTGTTGCTTCTGCCTTTAAAGTCTCGCTGGTACATATTCTCTGATGGAAACTCCAAAACAGCCAAATTGATCCTTTACTCAAAAAGTCGAGCTCACAGCTTCTCCGGATTATTCCCACCATTCATGAGTGCTGCCAGGAAGATCAAAGTCCTGATAACAGCTGCTCCAATTCCCTGACACAGCTTCCCACATTCAGTCCGAGCACTGTCGAGCTTCAACACATCCACACAAATTTGTAGACAATCCAGATTTCACCAACCCAAACAGCAAAAACCAGTTGTCACCATGAATCCAATCGTTTCCGTCGAGGTAAGAGGGTCCTCCTTACCCTGACTCCTGTCGGGAGAAGTTGATCGATTTTGTTGAGAGACCAGCTGATCCTTTGAATTAAGAGGTATGCAGAAAAAAGAGACTTTTTTAAGGGTTCACAGGACAAAAGAGCGCAGCAGGGAAGCGGGTGGTGGGGGGGGGAAACACGTCTGTTCCACCGGAGAATAGATGGGAAAATAAAAAATTACGCGCTGTGTAATTACGCGCACCATGCACAGAAGTGTGCTGCGTAATTACGTGTTCTATGCACAGGAGTGCCCCGGAGAGAAAAGTTTTCGACGGGGAAAAAGGGAAAGGCTGAAAGTAGTCCTGCTGCCGAGAGTGGGAAAGAACAGAGGTTACAATTGTAACCATGTAACAGTGAACAGAGCAGATCAACAGCTCTTTAATATGAACAGATTAATAATGAATGAACTGATTAATAATCAAATGAACTGATTAGTAGCAATAGAGAACAGCAGTCACAAAAATTGTGACTGATAATAAATAGCTCATACTGTAATTGCATGCAGTCTGATGTGAGTTTAAACAAAATTCCATGAAAACAGTAAAATTCATTCTGTTAGAACACTAAGAACAGAATGTGCCATGGAACAGGGCGAAACATCACGCAGATAAAAGCGAATAAATGAACAAGGCGATGACCAAGCGGCCACCGTACAAATATCCTGCACTGTCATTCCATTATGCAAAGCTGTCAAAGATGCAATCCCTCTGGTGGTTCTCAGGAGGCTCCAATCCTGATGCTCTGTAAGCTTCAGAAATGGCCTCACACAACCAGTGTGACAGACGCTGAGTGGATAACGAGTGACCTGCAGAGACGTCCCTTAAATGCACAAACAGACACTGAGTCTGCCACAGGGGAGCCGTGCGTGCTTTGTAACATGCCAGCGCACGCACAGGACAGAGGAGATGAAAAGATGCTTCTTCTTCTGACTTATGAGGAGGAGGATAAAATCCCTCCAGCGTTATCATTCTCGATTTAAATACACTTGTGATGTTTTTAGGCATAAAATCTGGATTAGGTCTCAGCGCAGCTGAGCTGCCATCAGCTTGAATCCTGAGGCATGACGGGGCAGCAGAGAGCGCAGATAAATCACTCACTCACAGCGTGTCTGTCGTGATGGGGCCCTCCAGCAGGTCTTTCTGCAGTTTCTCCGGCAAGGAGGGGGAGTGTTGGAGCAGGGTGGACCTCTGGATCATTGTCATTCAGGTGGCGATGTGAGACAGGCAGACAGCAGAGGAGGCGCACAGGATGAGAATGATGTTAGACGCTTTGCAGAGCATCTTCTCAGGCAGCCTTTTGGAGATGCTGTAGGACAGCAGGGCGACATTGTTGTTCGCTGCGGCCGCCTGGAAAGCACACTGGTGGGCTCGGTTGGAGAGTGAGGTCACCGTCTGGTCATGTCTTCCTGGAGGGACAGGACGCTGGTCCAACCTGGACACTTTTGCTCCAAGTGCTTCTGCCAGGCTTGGCTCCAGGGGGAGTACCGAGGGAAAGTTCCGCTCAATAAACCCCTCCACTCTGGTGATGGGAGCGAAAGTGGAGACGGGTGCCTTCAGCCTACCAGGTCTGGCTGCAGCCTCGTTCCAGTAGGACATTACTGCTGGGAAACGAGGCCAGATGGGGTCAGGGCAGCGAGCCGGGGTGGAGCCAAACCTTTCCGCTAGATCATCCGATCTGGGCGGGGGGAGGAGTGGAGGAGAGGGACGGAAAGTCCCCTTCGTTTCAGCTGCCTCCCGAAATATGCCGGGCAGTTCCGAGAGGAGGGCACCGACAGCTGGGAGCGGTGTGTTTGCCGATGCGGAAAGGCCTGGGGGGGGGGGGGGGGGGGAGCATCCGCTCAGCGCCCCCGTTCCAACACTACGCTCTCCAGGAGGGAATGAGCAGCGGGGCTGCTGCTTACGTCGCCTTTCCTGGAGGAATCATACGATTTGCTCCGTGACTCGGCATCAAAAAAGGCGATGGCGTCGTCCAGCGAACAGTCCCCCGTCACGGAGAAGCAGTCCTCGATGTTTGCTTTGAACAAGGCTGCTCGCCTCTGCCTCTCCTCGGGAGGGAGGAGGTCACAGAGACAGTAGGAGGAGGTGAGGTCGGCGTGGCGGGGACCCAGGCATCCTTCACAGTTGTCGTGCCGGTCAAAGCTCAGCATGTAGCCGGTCTTGCAGGACAGGCACAGGCGGGTGGTGCTGGCACTGGACATCGTGTTCTTGTAAAAAACAGTGCTGGTTGCTTGCTGAAGAAAAATGGGAGCCGATTACCCGGTCTCACCGTAATTTATACAGACCGGGTGAGGCCCACACAGCAGGTGGGCGTAGACTATAGTTTTCAGTGCTGCACTTCGCGCGACAGGATGAAACCCACCAGCGACAGCCTTAAAGGGCGAAGCCTATATGAAATAGAACATCAGATAACAACAACATTTTTCAGTCAGGTCATCTGGACAGTTTCTTTTTTTTGTGCTGAAACGTTTCGCCTTCGGTCCGGAAGGCTTCATCAATCAAGGAAGCACACAACAAAACTGATTCTTCCTCCAACAGCTTACTCCAAAGTGGAACAAACCAGTTCTGCTTGTGATAAGATGGTCTCTTTGGTACGCCCCCTCCTCCATTGCTGGCCCTCTTGTTGACAGTCTTGTCAAACTGGTTGAAAACAACAAAGTCCATGCTCAATAATCCAGGTATACAGTTTTGTTGGGTGTTTCCTTGACTGATGAAACCTTCCAGACCAAAGGCAAAACGTTTCAGCACAAAAAAAAAAAAAAAAAGAAACTGTCCAGATGACCTGATTGAAAAAATGTTGGATTGTATAACTGGATTATTGAGCATGGACTTTGTTGTCAGATAAGATCATTAACTCCTCCCGCACGGGCTGTGAGGGACTGGCAAACTAACTTCCCCTTTGAAACCCGGAAGTTACAGCTTTTGACGGAGAACGTAAACAAGCGAAGCTAGCAGAGAGCCATTCGATTAGCTCATGTTCTTTGGTTTTCGAAGAAATAGCGAAAGTAAACGGTTTGTTCTTTGCCTCTCATCATGTTTTCTTCAACAAGCTTGAAACAAAGCGCGAGAACTTCGGTATTTTGTGTCGTCTTTTTGCTATTTGTTAGTCTTGTAACGCAGGGAGAATGCCAAACTACAAGTCCACCGCCTCCACTTTGTAAGTTAAACTACTTGTTAAATATTCCCTTTTCTTACTTCCCTGATGTTGCCGTCTGCCACATTCTCTGGGCTTGAACTGCAGCAGCAGTACGTGTACCAGGCCGACCTAACAAAGTACTCGGGGTGTGTGGAAGTACAGTTGTGTATAAAGCAGCTGGTTGTTGTGTGGACTGAACGTGTCTCTGTGTTTCAGCGTGTTCTGCCTTCAAGAACTGTGACAGCTGCGTCCCTCATGCTAAGGTAAGATCCAGCTGCACGCACACATGACCTCTTGTTTAGTGTCTGTTCTCCTGGTTAACATTCTTTTCTTAACAAACCTAAGGTTAAAAAAACTTTGTGTGCGGCTAAAAATCTTAGAATACTGTATCGTGATAAAGATTCAGTCATTTCAAACACGCAAACTATGTTACATAGATTCATTACACAAAGTGAAATATGTCACGCTTTTCTTATCATTTTGATAATTATAACTTAGAAATAACGAAAAACCAAAAATCAGTGTCTCAGGAACTGAGAATATTCCAGAAGCAGCTGCTGGTCCAGTGGTTCTGGTCAGTGTGGGCCGGAGCCGAGTCCTGCTGGAAAATGAAACCAGCATCTCCATGAAGCTCGCCAGCAGCAGGAAGCATGGAGTCTCTAAAATGTCCTGCTGGATGCTGCGAGGACTGTGGACTTCAGAGAACCCTGTGGACCAGGACCAGCAGAGGACATGGACCCAAACCATCCCTGACTGGAAACTTCACTCTGGACTTGAACAATGTGGATTCTGGACCTCTCCACTCTTCCTCCAGACTCTGGGACCTTGATTTATAATGACATAAACATTTACTTTCATCTGAAAGAGGACGTTGGACCACTGAGAGACAGTCCAGGTCTGTGTCTCCTTCTGATGGTGTCTCTGGTTCAGGAGTGGCTGGACTGGAGGAGTGACACGTTTGGAGCTCATTTAGCCAAAGAGTTCTTCAGCTGTTTCAGGTGACCCCATGAGTTCACAATATTCACATTTTCTGACACTGAATGTAGTTTTTCATCATCTATAAGCCACAATCATCAAAATTACAAGAAATACAGTGTTGAGAAATTTCACTCTGTGTAATGAATGTATTTATGAGTTTCTCGTTCTTGACATGATTAATGAACAACATAAATGGAACTTTTTCACAACATTCTCATTTTTTTACATGCACGTAGTCCGCTAATATTTCCTAATATTTAGGTTCAAAACTGAAACTTGAGTACAAACAAAAATGATAACTTCTTAAGAAAGGTGACTGTTGCTTATTTTACATGAATACTGATTTACAAATGCTCATGTTTGATAAAGATTCATCATACAAAAAGTCCAAAACTCTTTTTAAGCGCAGGCTGCAGACCAGCAAACAGTCCGTGCACAGTTCAGGCTTGTCAACGCGCAGCGACGATCTCTGCGCTCTGTAACGTCTCAATGTCTTGTCCACTGTGGACGTTTGGTGTGTCTACTGACTGAAACAAATTGCCCCTCGGGCATAATACAGATTCTTGAACTTGAACAATTAGCACAGATGCTAACTTTACAGTGAAAATGCCACAGAAAGCTAATGCTGTTAGCATGGTGTTTATCAGGGAGTTTATGAGCAAATCAAACATTTGTTATTTCTAAAGACGGTCAAGTTATGAAAACTTCCATCTGTTGCTGTCTGCCACATTCTCTGGGGTTGAGTGAAGAAACTATATGAACTGTTTGAAGTGCAGCAGCAGTACGTGTACCAGGACGACCAGAACCGCCCAGCAGCTGCACATGATGACGCCTGTTGTGTTCACTGCACCATGATGGATGCTAACGTCTGTCCTGTTTCTCATAGTGTCTGTGGTGCTTTGCCACTAACAACTGCACAGAGTACCCAGTGACCTGGCTGCTGCCTCCAGCTTCTCTCTGCCCGCTGTCCCAGGCCCGCTGGGGGGTGTGTTGGTGTGAGTAAACCAGTCAACATCTGCACAGCTGTGTGAACACTGTCAGTGAGTGGAAGCTGCATCTGCTAGTCTTCACTCTCAGCTGTGCAGTGTTTTTCCTGCTTCCTCTTTTATTCAGGTGGACGCTAAACAAACGCACCAAACATAACGTAAAATAAAACTGAAAATAGAACGGGGATTTTCAGGGGGGGGGGGGGGACCCGCCTGTAGACAGACTATTATTATCCACCTGAAAAGGCTCTTGCTCCTCTATCAACTTTAATGCGGCTCGAACCACAACGTGTCCCACAAACATATCAAACAACCGGCGCGGCACCGTGATGTGTGCTCGTACTTTTATTGACATTACAAGTTACCATGGCAACGTCATTTGCAAACAAAGACGCCATTTTCTCATTGAAAAACGCTGACAGAACTCCTGTGCAGTGAAGGTTCTGTTGAAGACAGAACTGTGTTCAACAAGGAGGTGCTGTCTATAAGACAGATGTGGGTGGCAGGCCTCAGGCTGATGAAGTCTTTCACATGAAAGACGAAACGTTTCTCCCAAAAAGAATCAGATGACCTGATTTAACCTTTTGTGTGATGGATATGTAAGTTGGTTCAACAAGAGAGCAGCCGCAGGAACAGCGGTCTCCCTCTCTACCTTTAGAAGTTGTAGGAACCATTTTCTTTGATAAATGAAGACATCTGTTTGTTTTGCTTCACTTGAGTTTAGATCTGAATCATTTCAGAGCAGATTATTTTTTATTGTGTCCAGGTTCATAAAACCCTAAAACTGAAAGAGGTGGACTTTCTTTTCCCCACAACTCTCACTAGAATGTTATGTGAGCCGTGCGCACACAGGCGCACGTGGATTAGATTTTAGTCAACTAAACGTTGTGTTTTAAGACCTGATACATTTAAAAAATTTAATTATTCCTTGAATGTAGGCTGTGACTCATATTCAGCTGAGTGTAACTGCAAGTGTCATGACTTCAACTCAGTCACGTGCTCACTGACAGATGTTTGGGGCGTGGATGTTAAATCCGTTAGTTCTGTTTCTGTGGAACTTGAGTTTCATTTCAGTGTAAAGATGCAGAGCTTCTGTCACAACACTAGGTGGCGCCACCATCATATAGGATTGCTGCTAGTTTTCATTTCCATGAAATAAGACTCAGGTTTTCACTTCCCTGACCTTAGAAAATGACCCTTCTCTTGAAAGAGGTCAATAAATGTTAATTATTTATCTCCTTCTGTGTCTCAGTGAACTTTGAAGCCCTGATTATTGCACTCGCAGTGTTGAGTGGGACCATCCTGGTCAGCATCGTGATCTGCTGCTGCTGCTGTTGCTGCAGGAATCACTCATCCAGGTAAGGTCAAGAATCACTCATCCAGGTAAGGTCAACAGCCAAACCGGAGGGTTACTTTTAATTCAGTTTGCTCGTTGACTGAAATTACCATATTTTCCAGAGTATAAGTTTCATCAGTCCAAAAAAGCATCACAAAGAGGAAAAAAACATATATAAGTCGCTTCAGCGTATAAGTCGTGTTTATTATGCGTCACTGCTGACCCCTGGGAAACATGGGCCAGTGTTGTGCCAAAAATCGATTGGCTGCCAAACATGAATTGACGGCCGTGGGAGTGCACACGGGAGGACTCACTGTTCCAGTTCTTCAAAATTTAACAAGATTAACACTTTAAAACAATTATTTGTTTGCTCGACATTATAGTAAATGTGTGTCTCAGTTGAACTTTTCCTTAATAAATACACTTTGATGGTCAAAACATGGCAAAATGAAATGGCTTTAACATTACCACACGCCCATAATGATGACAGAAACACCTATTTATGTAATTTTTTTATTCAAACCCGTTCAGTTCTTCATCCTCTGTGTCGCTGGCAAAGAGTTCTACCAACTCCTGAGGTAGGTGATGCAGCGCTGCCTCCTCTTCCTCCCCGGGCCTGTCAGAGTCCTGCTCCATGTCAGCTGCAGCTCCAGCTAACACCCCGGCCTTTCTGAACCCCGACTGGATCGTTTCTGTGGTGACTGAGGTCCACGCTTTATCGATCCAGCCGAGGACCGGCTGGAACGTCGCGTGGTGCATCCGTGCCGTAGCCGTGCAGCTGTGCTCTCCGTCCACCATCCACTGCTCCCAAAGACGGTGCAGAGCTGCTTTGAAGCTCCGGTTCACAGAAATGTCCAGAGGCTGCAGCACTTTTGTCAAGCCTCCCGGGATGATGGCAGGGACGGAGTTGCACGCTTTAATTTTATCTTTAAATTGCGGCGTGATGTGCACACGCATGCTGTCCATCACCAGCAGGGCTTTTTTTCTTCTAAAAAATCCATCTGGCCGCTTCGTGTATCACTTTGTGAGCCACATGTTCATCATGTCTGTGTCCATCCACCCCTTCTCATTAACTGTCACAACCACGTGCGGGGGGAACTCCTCCTTCGGCATGGTTTTACACTTAAAAATCACCATGAGCGGCAGCTTGGATCCATCTGCGCAGCATGCCAGCACCACAGTGAAGTGGGACTTTTCGTGACCTGTGGTTATGATCACGCTTTTTTCCCCATTCCTCGCCACACTCCATCCCATTGGGATATAAAAAGTTAATGGAACTTCATCCATATTAATAATGTGGTCAGGCGAGATGCTGTGCTGCTGCACCTGCTTGTCCACAAAGGCGCGGAAACTCTCCACCTTTTCTGTAAAATCAGCCGGCTGCTTTTGGCACATGAATTTCTCTTTCTCAACATTTTCTCTGTCGTCGTTGTGTTGTCCTCTTTCTTCCTACTCAATGTGACGTTTTTGACGCCGGCTGATGGGATTTTAGTGGGTCTGGAATAAACAAATAATGGGGTATACCAGTAGTCGTCAAAAGCCTAGAGGGTCTTCTAGCGCCCTTAGTGGCCGAAAATGGTACGGTTCTATTTTTTTCAGTCAGAATAAATGGAAACCGTCATATCTCAGGCAAAAATTGGTCTAAAAATATGAGAGAAAAAAATCCATAAATACGTCGCTTCACCTTATAAGTCGCAGGGCATGCAAATTAGACAAAGAACTGCGACTTATACAACGAAAAATACGGTACCCGTACCGGTTGTCAAAAGCCTAGAGGGCACACTTGAGCATGTAGCGGCTGCATAAGGTATGTTTACCCTGGTTCATGTCATTATGAATGAACATTTAAAGCGTCAGTCAAAAATTGCATTATGAATATGGAAAAAAAAAAATTATATAAGTCACTTTATAAGTCGCAGGACTGGCAAATCTAAAAACTGCAACTTTGACGCCGGAAAATACGGTACTCCTTTTATAACTTGAGCAGCTGTCGACATTTTTCATAAAAATAAAGTGAAAGCAGAGCCTAGCCTGAGAAACTGTTTTAAAAGTAATTTAAGTGCAAATAAAATCATGAGCAGACTTTCTGGATTAGATCAGGCCAAAGCAAAATAAACATCTGTTAAGTTCCTGGCAAAAACCAATGCAGACATGTTCCTGTTTTTAGTTTTCTACACCGCCTTATAAGCTAGCTGTTTTTTGCTACTATTCCTCTTGATTGTCCTTTTGGTTGCTGTTTTGATTTGTAAAAAAAAAAAGAGAGAAATTTAAATTCGTATACCTATTTTATGACTGTCTATTGTTGTCGTCGTTATTCACTGTTGTCATCACTCTTTGGTAATGAGTCCCCGAGGCTCTTTGGGATTAACCTGTCTAAGTAAAGGTTGAATGAATGAAAATGATCTGGACAGTTCCTGATGCTGTTAGCATGTAGCATTTAGCTTTTTCCACTGCATGTTTTAAAAAATACCATCCAGCTTTAACAACAAAAAAGGTTCAATTGTGTCATCTGGACCAGTTTCTTTAAGTGAGAAACGTTTCGTCCCCCATCCAGAGGACTTCCTCAGTCTATGGCCTGCCAACCAGATCTGTCCCATAGGTAGTAGCCTTCACTGCTGTGTTTCAAGCCAGCGTCCCGTTGGAATCTCAAAAGTAGGCTTTTAACAGGTGCAAAACACACCCATCCAAAACAATCAATCATCATGTACAACAATCAAATGTTTTAGACCATGTGACCAACTTGCTACTCACAGAAACCGCCTGAGGACAACAAGGCCAAAATGGTTCAGAATAAAGGTTATAAGCTCAATCATCCAGGTAGATAACAACAATAAAGGTTAAATCATATCATCTGGATCAGTTAGGATTAACCCTAACCCTTCACCCCAACTCCCTCCCTCCCCTGCCCCCCCAACAACTGCCATCACTTACGTAGCGCTAAGCTAGCGGCACACAATACAAATGCACTAGCTAAAGCTACAGACACGCTGCTCTCACGCAACTCCCCATTAACAGCTGCTAGCACTAACGCACTAACTTAGTGCTAAGCTAGGTCACAACATGGACATGTCTACCACTCCCACCACCATCACCAAAAATCACAGAAGAGATGAGCGTTCTTCCACCTAGAGGAAACACTGCTTGACTGCTGATATAACTGTTTGTCACAAATTTCACATCTTTCAGTGTTTACATTAGCCATCCATCAATCATCTTTACTCGCTTCTTCCTTTTCGGGTCACAGGGTCACTGGTGCCCATATTCAGCCATCACTGTGCGAGGGGCGGGGGACACCCCGGACAAGTGTGTTGTCTTTTTTTCTTTGTGTAAACAAACATTAAAATATGTCAGGAGATGGACATCGTGAGCTAACAGACTGCTCACTCTGCAGTTGACAGATCTGTTTTTCTGTCTGCAGGTTCAGGTGAAAAGCAGTCTTACTAAACAAATATGGCAATAAAAAATGTTATATACCAATCTACAAGATGTATATTTAATACTTAATTTTCAGCTGTATCTTCACACGCGTCTAAAAATATGAACATGTAATGATGCAGGATCAGTGTCTGTATAGGTAACTGGTGTCTGATTCATAAAAGATAAACTATCTTCAATTTTATGCATTTATTCATTGATCCAAAAGAAACTAAACAAATTCATCAAAAAGAAAAAAAAACATTGAATGAAAAGGGTGCAGAAAGAAGAAGAAAATTCTTATAATATCTATTCAGTTCAATTCAGTTTATTTATATATCACCAAATCACAACAAAGTTGTCTCAGGGCACTTTACAGAAACATTCACATAAAAGCCAATTCTCAAGTTCTCTATCTAAGGAATCCAGCAGACAAGTTGAATCTTGGCTTCGATGCAGTCTCCCATCCTGAGCAAGCACAGTGGCAACAGTGGAAAGAAAAACTCCCTTTAACAGGAAGAAACCTCCAGCAGAACCAGGCTCAGGACAAGTGGCCATCTGCTTTGACCGGCTGGTTGAGAGGACAGGAAGGAGAGACAGACGAACACAGAATGGTAGGTCCAGGTATAGGTCCAGATGTATCTGAAAGACACAAAAAAAAACACATGTTAAGGATAGAAAAAACAATTACAAATACAAAACAGGTTGAGCAGAGTAAGTAAAGACAGTAGCAGAGTGAAAATTGTGGTCAGTTTGTCCTCCAGCAGTCTAAGCCTATAGCAGCATAACTAAGGGACAGCTCAGGAAACCCAAGCCGACCCTAACTAAAGGATTTAGCAAAAAGGAAAGTCTTAAGCCTAGTTTTAAAACTGGATAATGTGTCAGCCTCACGGACAGAGATTGGAAGTAGGTTCCACAAGAGAGGAGCCTGAGAACTGAAAGATCTGCCTCCCATTCTGTTTTTGTAAATTCTAGGAACCACAAGTAAACCTGCAGCCTGAGAGCGAAGTGCTCTTTTAGGAAAATATGGAACAATAAGATCTGTAATATAAGATGGAGCCAGGTTGTTGAGAGCTTTGTAGGTTAGAAGTAAGATTTTGAATTCTATTCTGGATTTGACAGGGAGCCAATGGAGAGAAACTAAAACTGGAGAAATATGATCTCTCCCACTGACTCCAGTTAAGACTCTGGCAGCAGCATTTTGGATCAACTGAAGACGTTTTAAAGAAGTATTTGGACACCCAGATAATAAACCATTGCAATAGTCCAGTCTAGACGTGACAAATGCATGGACCAGTTTTTCTGCATCATTTTTAGATAAGATGTTTCTAATTTTAGTGATATTACGCAGGTGGAAGAAGGAGGTTCTAGTAACGTTTTTAATGTGGGGGATAAAAGACGTCCTGATCAAAAATAACACCAAGATTTTTAACATTAGAGCTGGAGGACAGATTAATGCATCTAAGGAGGGTGAAAGACTGAAAAATTCATTCCTAAGGTGCTCAGGTCCAAAAACCAAAACCTCAGTTTTGTCAGTGTTCAACAAGAGAAAATTAAGGGTCATCCTGGTTTTTATGTCTTTAAGACATGCTTGTAGTCTAAGTAGCTGATTGGATTCATTGGGTTTAATGGACAAATATAATTGTGTGTCATCAGCATAACAATGAAAATTTATCCCATGATGTTTAATACCTTTACCTAATGGAAGCTGTAGTAAGCTAAGGCATTAACTTCACTACTAATTAATTATTCTTAAAGCTAGTTCAAGCTAGGGCATTAACAGAGTACTCGAGTAATCTACACATCGATTGCTAGGACATCTATCAAGGTTAAAAATGCAACGTCGAGTAACCGTAGTGACGTCTTATTATGTGACCACCGGGTCCAATCCACTGAACCAGAACCACCTTCCTCTGACCTTGTTTCACAAACAAAAAGCAAAAAATATTAATCTCTAAACCTATAAAAAAAATCTATAAACATATGTTTCTTCACGTTTGCAGTTTAATAATAATAACTAATAGTTTAGTTTTTCCTGTGACTTATTTGGAGTATGATAAATGGTAGGAGCATAATATACGCTCCCAATGTTTTGTTGGTCTTTTTTTTTTGTAAATAATTAACTTTTTTGCGGTTTTATTTATTTATTTATTTTTGTATCTCGAGATCTATGACGTCATCAAATACTCTAGTTCTACTCGGGTTTTATTATGTTAATGTCGAGTTTAAAAATTATATACTTGTTCAACCCCTAGTTCAAGCACAAAGAATATTAATTGTTTAATTACAACGGATTCTTTTCTTTTTCGAGTTAAATTTCTGCCCTGTGACCAAGATAACTGTGAGTGGAGTGTTTAAATCAGTGACATGAGACGCCATTTTATCTTTGACCCATCAGAATAAACGCGGTCATTTATTTAACAGAATCAAAATTTAACATCAAAACATGTACACATTGATTTGCTGATCTGTTTCTGATTAATAAACTTGGCACGCTTTACTAACAAGACAACAGAACATTACTGATTGAGGCCGATTCACCTCTGAAGGCATCTAGATTATTGGCAAATAGAAAAGTTAAAGAGGAGAATAGAAGTTTAAAGATTTAAAGAGGAGGTTTAGATGGATGATAATAGATGTGTTGACCCGGAATGGCGCCCTTCTTTCAACACCAACTCAGCCCGCGGTACACTCAGGGCGTGCAACGACTTGTTACCTTTGCAGAAGATAAATCAACTCCAGTACAGAGGTCCATCTCACGCTCCCTTTTCAGCGTCTCCGGTCAGGGTGGCTGAGAAAATTTAGAAGTAGTTCCATATGCTCCGATCAACAGAATAAATGCCGAAGTACTCGGTTCCACCAAATAAGCTTCCTTAGAAGTGGAGCATTTACTGCTCGGTTTGAGTGCACAGCGATGCGAGCTGTGACTCCGCTGAAATGGAGGGACCCTTTGCACATGATCCCATCCATCCGCTACTTAGTTGAGTCTCATCTCTGACTGAAAGTTCCAGCAAGACTTAGAAGAGACCAAGACTCATGAAGACTAAGACTTAAGACTCCGACTGAGTTCCAGGACTGACTAGTTCCAAGAAGTGTTGCCTTTTTAAAGGGGTATTCACTTCCTGTTACGTGGTACTTCCTGATTGGTTGAAACAACCAGCAGGGGGGTGGTTCTAGTGATGTCAGAGGGTCACTAGAAGTCAAGAGACAGCAGGAATGTTTTTAAAAACAGTTAGTACAGACAGAGAAAATATTATGACGAGGTGAGACAACGCAGGTGCCAGTTGGTTATTTACAAGTTTTAAAAACAAGACACTTCGTTCTAATAACTCGTCTCTGTTTGTCTCTAACTTTCGACCGACATGCAGTCCTACTCCTCATTCAGACAGAAGACTAAATGCACACTTATTTCGTAAATAGGCATTTAACTGTATGATCAAAAATGTAATGAGGTTTAAAAATCATTAATACTGTTTCACAGTTGATTTAAATGAGTGGTTCACTTGAACATTTAGAAATGGTATGAACTAAACACACTTTTTGATTATCAAGATATCTTAAAATAGTACTGATAATGTAAAAGAAGAGTGTTCTTTCAATTGATTAATTCAGGATACAATTAAATAGTCTCTTGATGAGATAATTTGTATTTCTGGATTCAAATCAATGAAATAGCAGTTCCTGTCCCCTGAAGGTCTTCAGAGACAGATTGAGGTCGGAGGTCTAGTTCACTACAAAGCATATATAAAGTAAAGAGTATTGGCCCAAGCACTGAGCCCTGAGGAACTCCATGACTAACTTTGGTGTATGAAGAAGATTTATTATTTACATTTACAAACTGGAATCTATCAGATAGATATGATTTAAACTATTTTAGAGCTGTTCCTGTAATCCCAATATCATATTCAAGCCTCTGTAGTAAAATATTGTGATCAACTGTATCAAATGCAGCACTGAGGTCTAACAGGACCAGTATAGACACAAGTCCATTGTCTGAGGCCATGAGAATATCATTAGTGACTTTTACTAGTGCTGTTTCTGTGCTATGATGAGCTTTAAACCTTGACTGAAACTCTTCAAACAGATTATTTCTTTGTAGATGTTCCCGCAACTGACCTGCAACTATTTTCTCTAGACTTTTTTAGATGAAAGTGAGATTAGATATACAGTAGGTCTGTAGTTGGCCAGAATTTCTGAATCAAGATCAGACTTCTTAAGTAAAGGTTTAATTACAGCAACCTTAAAGCGCTGTGGTACATAACCATCCATTAAAGACAATTTAAGTAGATCCGAAATGTGGACATTAATTAGGGGAAATACCTCTTTAAACAGTCTGGTTGGGATGGGATCTAGCAGACATGTGGATGGTTTGGATGTGGTTATTATTTTTGACAATTCAGAGCTCAACAGGACAAAAACTGTCCAAACATAAATCAGGCTCTAGTGAAATTTTTAAAGTTGTCTCATTTGACAGGCGACTAGAGATAGTAGAAGGAAGGATGGTTTGAATTTTCTCTCTAATTGATATAATTTTATTTATAAAGAATCTCATGAAGTCATCACTACTTATAGTTGTAGGGACACATGGTTCAACAGAAATGGGACTTTTAATTAGTCTAACAATAGTACTAAACAGAAACCTAGGGTTATTTTTATTCTCCTCTATTAAACATGGGTAATATAAAGTTCTAGCTTTATGGAGAGCTTTTTTATATGTTAGCAGACTATCTTTCCAAGTTAAATAAAATTCTTCAACATTAGTAGAGCGCCATTTTCTCTCCTGGTTTCTAGATGCTGCTTTAAAGTACGTAACTCAGAATTGAACCAAGGAGCCAGTTTCCTCTGATTGATTACTTTCTTTTTCAGTGGAGCAATTTTATCAAGTGAAGTTTGCATTGAAGTTGTAAGATGATCAACTAGATGATCTAAGTCTCTGTTCTCTGATGCATTACTCTGCAAGACAGAGGAAAACATTGATGGAAGAGATTGTTTAAATTTGGTTACAGCCTTTTCTGATAAGCACCTGCTGAGATGAAATTTACTCTCAGTGACTGTGTAGTCATTTAATGTAAACTCAAAGGTTATTAAAAAATGGTTGAACAGAATAGGATTTTGAGGAACTATTACCAAGTCCTTAATCTCTATACCATAGGTCAGAACTAAATCAAGAGTGTGATGTTAAGAATGAGTAGATGTGCGGACGTTTTGGGTAAAACCAAATGAGTCTATTAAATTATTAAAGACTATGCTTAAGCTATCACTCTCAACATCCACGTGAATATTGAAATCACCCATTATGATGATTTTATCAGTATTTAATAATGAGTCAGTTAATAATTCTGATAATTTAGACAAAAACTGAGAGTAAGCGTCTGGTGGACGATATATAACAACTAGTAAAAGTGTCTTTTTTGATTTCCATTTTGGATGAGAAAGACTGAGGGACAGCGATTCAAAAGAATCATAACTAATAACTGGTTTGGCATTAATTAATAATCCTGACTGAAAAACTGAAGCTACTCCTCCACCTCAGCCAGTTGTTCTAGGAACATGAAAATTTAAATAATTAACAGGAGTGGATTCATTTATACTAACAAAATCCTCCTGTTGTAGCCAAGTTTCTGTCAGACAGAATAAATCAATATGATGATCAGTTATCAGTTCATTAACTAACAGGGATTTAGAGGAAAGAGATCTGATGTTCAATAATCCACATTTAATGATTTTATGATTTTGCTCTGGTAAAGTAATTGTGTTTATTTTAATCAGATTTTTATGGTTTATATTTTTAGAGCTGATTTTTTGTTTATTTAATTTGAGCCGTGGGCGAGTTGACACTGTTTCAATGTGGGTGTGGGTGGGTAACAGAGGAGAAGCAGCAGAGAGGTGGAGGACTACAACTCTGCTTCCTGGACTGGACCCTGGGTTGTCAATAATTTGGGGGATAAACAAAATCAGCCATATTTCTAGAAAGAAGAGCGGCTCCGTCCAAAGTGGGATGGATGCCAGATACATGCAACGTATCTGCCCGTTATTTAAAAAAATATATAAAATAACTACAAAAAACAACTCGATAAAACCAGTACTGGATTGGATCAGTCTCAACAGCAAATAAAGTTCTATCTTATCTTGTCAAAATATTACCAGGATAGGAGAGGAAAAAGTCTCTGCATTTTTCTGCTTCTAATCCACGATTCTGATATCTGTCATACTGGAGAAATCAGAATTTAAATCTCAGTAACTTCTAAATTGTTTCGCTTCTGGATAATGTGACCTCTGAGGAAAGTAGCTGTTTGTGGATAAGTGTAATTGGCTACAACAAAATGGAGATGTTTCTGTTGTTGAAAGATTTTGACTCTCTTCTCTTGTCTTCTGTTATCTCCAGGCCTGACAGAGATGAGGAGAGGTTTGCCAGGAGAAGAGAGGAGATCAAACAGCGTTCTGAACAGCGGTAAGAACGTCTGTCCAGGCCTCTGTGGACATGTCAGGAACAGATTACAACTGTTGATCTTACATCACAGCTGATTTCTCTGCATTTGTCATGAAGTAGTTGTTGCAAAAATGTTTGACATAAAAAAAGAAACTGAACTGACTTGTATATAAGACTGAACTTAGGGATGTTAGAGTAATGTGATTCCCTTCATATTCTATCCCTAAATCTAAAATCACCAGGGACTGAGTGACTTCATACTGATTGCACTCATGTCTTTGAAGATACTTGAAAAGATCATAAAGGATAAACTAGACCAACAAAGTCCATGCTCAATAATCCAGGTATACAATCCAACATTTTTCAGTCAGATCATCTGGACAGTGAAAAAGAAACTGTCCAGATGACCTGACTGAAAAATTATGGATTGTATACCTGGATTATTGAGCATGGACTTTGTTGTTTTCAAGCAGTTTGACATGACTGTCAACAAGGAAGAGGGCCGGCAATGGAGGAGGGGGCATGACAAAGAGACCATCTTAGCACCAACATAACTGGTTTGTTCCGCTTTGGAGTAAGCTGTTGGGGGAAGAATCAGTTTTGTTGTGTGTTTCCTTGACAGATGAAGCCTTCCGGATCGAAGGCGAAACGTTTCAGCACAAAAAAAGAAACTGTCCAGATGACCTGACTGAAAAATGTTGGATAAACTAGACCCTTTGCAGGTTGCTTCCCAGTACAAAGCCACAAAATTAAGTGCAATTTTATCTTTACAGTGAACAAAAATGTCCTAAAAATGACAGAAACATGATGCAGAACTACTAGAAGTGTATCCTGATACATGCTTCATACTAGAAGTATAGATATAATTGGGCATTATCATTAGGTATTATGTTTTAATCATATGGTATAAAGTTCTGACTTATTGCAACAAAATGTTGAGTTGGCGTAAAGGGGACAAACATACACCCCCAACAAAAGAGCCCATTGTTTAGGAAGCAAGCAAGTGGCCCCAACCATTCAGTGTTCCTCATCCCAAAACACCAGGAGGATTGTTGAGGCTGAGCAGCTGCTGTTTGGTAATGTGGTCATAAATAGAGCGGGCTACATCCTGTCTTAATACGTCCACTGCCATAGACATAGTGTTCATCTCTGAGTGCCACAGCAGCATGTGTTGCCTGGAGTTGCAGAGACCGCTGTCCTCTTGCTTCAGTGGTTCAAACTCTCATTTCTCTCAGGTCTTCGTCCTCTGAGGGATGTTGGGTGAAGTGTTGGTAAGCTGGGCAGTCGTGCAGAAAAACTGACCGCGAATGTGGTGTATCAGCATCACTTGTCGTGTTGGGAATACAGGTGCTTTGGCTTTCTGTGTGTGCTTGAGAAAGAGACTGCCTGGTGACGTATCCAGCCTCCATTAAAAAAACAACCCTCCCTCTTTACTTCATGTGCCACCAAGTCAAGCTACAATATCCTGCAGCGAGTATGATCAGGGCTTTGAAGTTCGAGTTAGTGCAATGATCTATACAGTTCCTGTAGTGATCAGTACATGAGAACCAAGTTCAAGAATCTTTTTTTATCCCCAAGGGTCAATTTGTTTCACGGTCAGTAGGCACACAAAACATTCATACTGGACAAGATATTAAGACATAAAAATAATACATGACATCATCACTGTTCATTGAGAAGCCTGATCACTACAGGAATGAATGAGATTTCCACTCTGTTTGTTCTACATCTGGGCTGCAGATACCTGCGTCCAGATGGAAGCAACCTGAACTCACCATGGAGTGGTGATCAGGATCTGCCAGAATCAGCCTGGCCTTGTTCACTGCCCTCACCTTGTGTAGGTCAGTGAGGTTCTGTAGGGCTATGCCAACAGTTCTACAGTACATCTTGACAATCCCCGAGAGTTTGTTCCAGTTTTTACATGTTAAAAGTCCAAACCAACAGATGAAGGTGAAAGTTAAAAGAGACTCAATAAAACATGAATAAAACATTCTCATAAAAGTAGAATCAACCTTAAAATAGAATCAACCTTAAAAACACAGAGCTTCTGATAAAAATACATTCTCTGGTGGACCTTCTTACAAAGTGAGTTCACATGGGGATCAAAAATCAGTTTGTCATCAATTCAGTTAGAGGGAGTAGGGTGCAGAGGTTAGAGAAGGTGAGCCTGTGATCGGAAGATCGCCGGTTCAAGCCCCGGTACAGACAACATAAAAAATGTGGGTGGGGTAGGTGAAGCACCCACACCTGCCCCCACCCTCATTCGCCCCAGTCTGGGCCCATGAGCAAGGCCCTTAACCCCCATCTGCTCCCTAAACAGGTCTCTCTTGAAAATGAGTTCTCATGGCTCAATGAGACTACCTGTATAAATAAAGGGTAAATGAAAAAAAAAAAAAAAAAAATTCAATTAGTTTATTTATATAGCGCCAAGTCACAACAAAGTTGTCTTGAGTACACTTTACAGGAACATTCATATGCATAGAAAAGCCAATTAGTAAAGTTCTCTAAGGAATCCAGCAGACAAGTAGAATCTTGGCTTCGTTGCAGTCTCCCATCCTGAGCAAGCACAGTGGAGACAGTGGAAAGAAAAACTCCCTTTTAAAAGGAAGAAACCTCCAACAGAACCAGGCTCAGGACAAGCGGCCATCTGCTTTGACCAGCTGGTTTGAGAGGACAGGAAGGAGAGACAGACAAACACAGAATGGTAGGTCCAGGTATAGGTCCAGGTGTATCTGAATGACAAAAAAAACAAACAAATGTTAAGGATAGAAAAAATAATTACAAATACAAAACAGGTTGAGCAGAGTAAGTAAAGGCAGTCATCAAGAACAGTTCCCAGATATATATATTGCTGCACCACCTGGACAGCCTCGCAGTTAATGACCACAGCAACTGAAATCAATTACCATCTCCTTTGTCTTAGAAACATTTAACTTTAAAAAGGAAGACTCACACCATTCAATGAAGTCCCTGACCACAGGCCCGGGGTCTGGGTCATCACTGCTAAGAAAGGACAGGATGACGGAGTCATTAGTAGACTTTAAGGTGTGACGTTGTGGGAACGGGCTGCAACAATTGTTTGTATATTAAATGAATAAAAGGGGCAAAAAAGTGAGTTGGGCTTTTTAATTTTCTTCACTGGAGGTGAATCCAAACAAGATTAAAAACAAAACTGGATTTTATTTGTAACTGAAGACGTTTTGCTTCTCATCTGAGGAGCTTTTTCAATCCAAAGAAACAAGGAATGAGGGATTCAAGTTATAAAGATGAGGTGTTATGTAAGCTTGCATGATGCAGATTGACCTCTCACTCCTCACAATAGAGGCTCGTTAGAGTCTTTGTTAGTCCCACCCACAGAGGGGACACTCTGGTCACATGGTTGGAATTCCTGGTAGGTGTGTAACTGGCTAGGTATCAGTCCTAAAGCTGCATTGTAGGTCTTTGAAAGTTGAAATCTGAGACCTCCTCCTCTGTCCTCTGGTTTCTGTCTCTTTACATAAACAGCTTCCTTCACTCCCCTCTCAAACCATCTGTTCTCTCGGTCCAAAATGCGGACATTCTCATCCTCACAAGAGTGTCCCTTATCCCTGATGTGTAGGTGACCCGCTGAGTCACCGGAGGTGGGCTTTTAATTCTCTTAAAAGGCCCATAAGGATTTGGAACAACCGTGGAGGGCTGGACCAAAAGTTTAAATTCATGTTTGCCAAATATGAATTTTTAAATTATAGGAAATGTGATTTTATTATCTTTAATTGTAGTCTCTGGTTGTGTGCAATAAAAATCTGAACCAGTCATTTTTGAAGTGAAAGAAATGAGGTTTCTGTGGGTCTTGAACATGTTTAGCTAATGAAGTCCTGAATTATGAAGGGCAGATATTAGATTTCTCAGAGAATTTAGATTTAAGTTTCACTTAATTTCCCTTTAATTTATAAAGCGCCACTTCACAACAAGTCATCTCAGAGCAACTTGTTGGGTTTGTGTGAAAGGAGTGTGAGCATCCTGAGCCACCTGTGGGGTGGAAGGGGACACATGTTGAGCTCAGTCGGTGTGATTGTCTCTGATCAGTAGCTCACGATAAAGCAGCAGCTGATCCACACCAGCTCTCTGTGTGGAGACGAAGTGGATTCTGTCCACACACACGGCACAGGTAGCTCAGTGGGTGTGTGAGGAAGAGAATCGATCCGAGTGGCTCCACCCAGCTCATCTCATGGTGATTTATTTATTTGAATTTATTGTCATGCTCGGTGCAACAAGTTTCCCAGCCTGTGAACAAATCTCTTTTTGTTTTGTTTTATAGGAAGGTGGAGAGAAAAGCACGGCACAATGAAATCCGCAGGAAGTATGGTGAGCAACAACGTGTAATTGTATGTCCATGCAGCCCTTTCTGCTTTCAGGAAGTGTTCCTAGATCTTTGTGATGGTCAAATCCACACTGCATCCATAAAACTGCTGCTTCCTGCTCTGTTTGGGTCAGATGGGTCCTCATTGCATTTAGAGGTTCTGTTAACATCAGTTATGTCCCAGTCCAGTTGAACCACCATGCAGCCACCACAAAGGCTTATCCCACTAACCATCATGGCAGGAGATAATCAAACTGCTGAGGATGGGCAGTGGTTGTTAAATATTTGAAGTGTAGTTAATGGTGGCAAATGGACCTGATGGTGACAGTCACAAGCAAATGAAGAAAAGAGCATCCCAAGCTCAGTTTCTGTCATCATTTATTTTAAAGAACGGTTGGGGAGTGGAAGCTTTGGTCAGACTGTTCACCTTCACATTGATCTTTGGACCGGGCTCCAAGAAAAGACAGTAGGGGTTAAATATTGAAACAAGAAGCTGACAACTTCATTTTGGTTTTGACTGAACTGTCCATGTTGGACTGGATGCTCCATTGCAGTGTTTTAAAATCCTAACTTGATTAATGTTTGATTCAACACCATGTTCTAATGCAGGAACTGTGACAGCCTCGCTCCTCTGACCCTTGTTTCCTTTATGAGATTAAATCAGCAAAACGACCTGCAGCCCTCTCACATACAGGTGCTGGTCATAAACTTAGACTATCATGAAAAAGTTGATTTGTTTCAGTAATTCCAATCAAAAAGTCAAACTTGTATATTATATTCATTCATTACACACAGACTGATATATTTCAAATTTTATTTATTTTAATGTTGATGATTATAACCAGTGGTTAATTTGAGCCAGAACCTGCCGGATCAAGATCCGGGAACTCTCTCATTTTGACCCGTTCTATTTCGGCAACTCTTTCCTGGGATCCGGCAGCTCCGCCCCTAAAAGTCCAAAGTCAATGCACATTTTTATTTTGATTATTTATTCAAAATACAACTAGAGGAGACGGTGCCCTCAGCCTGGCGGACCCAGCCTGTGGATATTCCAGCCGTGGGGGAGGATGGATCAGATAGTCACATTTACGCACAGCGATTCTGCGCGGAGTCCTTGTCTCCTCCTCTCCAAATATTGTCTGCAGTCAGTGGGGCTGTGCACTGAAACCCCCCACCCCCCTTTCCTCTTAGACCCCGAAACAGAAATGATAATTTATTCAACAGAATAAATAAATGCCCTGTGGACAGTGCACGTTACACACAGAAACATCTCCAATCTCTACACAGCGCGCACCTCAGCAGGTGTCTGAACTCCTGCTACATTTCAGACTTCTAATTCTTTCGGCTTTTCCCTCTTCAGGGGTCACCACAGCGAGTCATCCTCCTCCACCTCACTCTGTCCTCTGCATCCTCTGTCCTCATTCCAACTACCTTTGTGTCCTCTCTAACTGCATCCATATATCTCCTCTTTGGCCTTCTTCTTTGTCTTTCCTGGCAGCTGCATTTCTAACATCCTTCTACCAATATACCCACTGTCCCTCCTCTTGACATGTCCGAACCATCTCAGTCTGGCCTCTCTAACTTTATCTCCCAGTTCAACCTGGGCTGTACCTCTGATGATCTCATTCCTAATCTTATCCAGCCTTGTCACTCCTAAGGAGAACCTCAACATCTTCATTTCTGCCACTTCCAGTTCTTTCTCCTGTCTTTTGTCAGTGCCACTGTGTCCAGACCATACAATATAGCTGGTCTCACCACTGTCTTGTAAACTTTTCCTTTGCTGACACCTTTTTGTCACAAATCACCCCTGAAACTTTTCTCTATCCATTCCATCCTGCCTGGACTCTCTTTTTCACTTCTTTACCACATTCCCCATTTTCCTGGACAGTGGACCCCAAGTACTTGAAGTCCTGCACCTTTGTGACCTCTGCTCCTTGTAGCCTCACTGTTCCACCGGCCTCCCTCTCATTCACACACATGTCTGTCTTACTACGGCTGACTTTATTCCTCTTCTTTCAAGTGCATACCTCCACCTCTCCAAGTTCTCTTCCACCTGATCCCTGTTCTCACCACAGATCACAATGTCATCTGCAAACATCATAGTCCACGGGGTTTCCTGCCTGATCTCATGTATTAGTCGGTCCATCACCAGAGCAAACAAGAAGGGGCTCAGAGCCGATCCTTGATACACTCCCACCTCCACCTTGAAGCTATCTGTCACTCCTACAGCACATCTCACCACTGTCCTTCTGTCCTCATACATATCCTGTACCAGTCTAACATACTTTTCTGCCACTCCAGATTTCCTCATGCAATACCACACCTCCTCCCTCGGCACTCTGTCATATGCTTTTTCCAAATCCACAAAGACACAATGGAGTTCTTTCTGACCCTCTCTGTACTTCTCCATCAGCATTCTCAAAGCAAAGATGGCATCTGTGGTGCTCTTTCTTGGCATGAAACAATACTGCTCCTCACAGATAGTCACCTCTCGTCTAAGTCTTGCTTCCACAACTCTCTCATCTCTTCATCGTGTGGCTCATCAACTTAATTCCCCTGCAGTTGCTACAACTCTGTACATCATCCTTGTTCTTAAAAATGGGCACCAGCCCACTTCTTCTCCATTCCTCAGGCATTTTCTCACCCTCATATATGCCAATGAATATTTGAGTCAAAAACCTCACTGCCATCTCTCCAAGACATTTTCAAACCTCCACTGGTATGTCATCAGGTCATACTGCCTTCCCCTTTTTCATTCTTTTCAGAGCTTTCCGGACTTCACCCTCACTAATCTTTCCTACTTCCTGGTCCATAGTTTCTATGACCGCTACTCTTCTTTCTCTTTCATTCTCTTCATTCATTAGCTCCTCCATCTTCCATTCACACTCTCCTCACTTGTTAGAACATTACCATTCCTACCTTTAATAAGCCTAACCTGCTGCACATCCTTTCCAGCCTGATCCCTCTGTCTTGCCATTCGGTACAAGTCCTTCTCGCCCTCTTTAGTGTCCAGCTCCCATACAACTCATTGTACGCCCTCTGCTTTGCCTTAGCTACCTCCCTTTTTGCTCTACGTCCCATCTCCTTATATTCCTGTCTCCTCTCTTCAGTCCTCTCACTGTCATATTTCTTCTTGACTAATCTACATTTCAGACATAATAAATAAAAAAGCTTCCTGTAATAAATAAATAAATAATACAAAGAGAGAAATGTTTGATGTGTTATTCACATTATACATCATGTTTCAAAATAACGGCGCTAATTTGACAAAATAACAACAGCGATCAAAATGTCAACGAGACAGTCCAATTTACTTTAATAAAAAATGGATGGATTCATTGATTATCCTTAGTTTGACAACAGAGAACTGAATCCTTCAGGTGCTTTAAATGGTGCCACGAGACTGGAACAGGAGCGGAGAAGAGTTCAGCTCAACCGTGAAGTGAGGGGAGGGAGCAGGGGATTTTAGGACACCTGACAGGGTCAGAGCTGCTCATTCACACTCAACCTGCTGGTCCTCTCCAAAATAGTAATTTTATTAAGTGTTTACAAATGTAGGTAAATGTTGATGTATAAACCTGTTAAAATAGCCTACACCAGAATGCAGGAAATGGCATCTCTGTTCTTCAAAAATTTCTGTGGGAGGGCACAAGGACCGCCCCACCCCCACCCCCGCCTGCCCGCTGTTCTGGCATCAGTCAGTTTACAAATTAAGCCCTGATTATAAATGACAACTAGTGAAAACCCCAAATTCATTATCTCAGAAAATTTGATTATTGTGAAAAGGTTCAGTATTGAAGACACCTGGTACCACACTCTAATCAGCTAATTAACTCAAAACACCTGCAAAGGCCTTTAAATGGTCTCTCAGTCTAGTTCTATAGGCTACACAATCATGAGGAAGACTGCTGACTTGTCAGTTGTCCAAAAGACGACCATTGACACCTTGCACAAGGAGGACAAGACACAAAAGGTCATTGCTAAAGAGGCTGGCTGTTCACAGAGCTCTGTGTCCAAGCACATTAATAGAGAGGCAAAGGGAAGGAAAGAAAGATGGGGTAGGAAAAAGTAGGGGTGCACCGATTGCAGTTTTCTGGCCGATCACCAATTTCTAAAAAGTCTGACCTGCCGATTCCAATTTTGGCCGATACCGATTTTGTTTTATAAACGACACTATCAGGTATCCTGATGCATGCTCACTCCACTATCAGGTGTTATAAGGTCATAATGCACCTTCAATTTTCCAATATTATTTTATTGAAAAACATACCCTTGAACAATATCCTAGAAACAATACAAACTTGTTTTAACTGGCCATGAGGTAGTAGAGCTCTGAAATATAAATGAAGCTTAGACAATTGTTGTTAAAACTTAAAAAAAAAAAAAAAAGTAAAATCGGTTTCTCATGCAAGTATCGTCGGATTTCCCAAATTTAAAGAAATCAGGGCCCACCACATACCACCCCTAGAAAAAATTGTACAAGCAATAGGGGTAAACACACCCTGGAGAGGATTGTGAAACAAAACCATTTCCCTAATGTGAGGGAGATTCACAAAGAGTGGACTGCAGCTGAAGTCTGTGCTTCAAGAACCACCACACGCAGATGTATGCAAGACAAGGGGTTTCAGCTGTTGCATTCCTTGTGTCAAGCCACTCTTGAACAAGAGACAGCATCAGAAGCATCTCGCCTGGGACTACTGCTGAGTGGTCCAAAGTTATGTTCTCTGATTAAAGTAAATTTTGCATTTCCTTCGGAAATCAAGGTTCCAGAGTCTGGAGGAAGAGAGGAGAGGCACAGAATCCACGTTGCTTGAGGTCCAGTGTCAAGTTTCCACAGTCGGTGATGGTTTGGGGTGCCAGCTCATCTGCTGGTGTTGGTCCACTGTGTTTAGTGAGGTCCAAGTTCAATGCAGCCGTCTACCAGGAAGTTTTAGAGACTTCATGCTTCCTGCTGCTGACCAACTTTATGGAGATGCAGATTTCATTTTCCAACAGGACTTGGGAT